TGGAGCCTGGCTACCCCAAGTCCATCCTGCGGGACTTTATGGGCTGCCAGGAGCATGTGGAGCCAGACCACCGATGGCCTGACGTGGCCCGTCCACCCTTCAACCCCGATGGGGGTGCAGAGCCCGGGGTGGACAGTGATGGCGCCGATGGCGATGTGGAAGGCGGCGAGGGGGACTTTGGGGCCGGAGCGGATGGGGACAGGGACAGGGATGGGGGCAGCCGCGTGGTGGTGCAGATGGAGGAGGTGGTGCGGACAGTGAACGTGGTGATGGTGCTGGTGCCGCTGCTGCTGCTGCTCTGCGTCCTGGGCCTCACCTATGCACTGGTGCACATGCAGCGCAAGGGCGCGCCGCGCGTGCTGCTCTACTGCAAGCGCTCCCTGCAGGAATGGGTCTGACACCCACCTGCCCTCCTGTCCTCACGGTGCTCGGGGGCCTGTGGTTCTGTGGTGGCTCCTAGGGGCTCTCTGCAGCCCTCAAACATCCCGGCAGTCCTGCTTTCCTTATTTATGCCCAGGGGGTTGGGGGGAGTGAGTTTTTTTTTTTTTTCCTTGTTTTTTGCACCTTATGTGAGCATTTGTTTTGCTTTCCTGACCAGGGCAGAATGTTTAGAGTTTTCTAAATGCAGTTCTGCTCTGGATAGGGATTCAGGTCCCCCCATCCACCCTGGCTTGGCCGCAGCCACAGGAGCACGGGTAGAGGCCTACCTTGGAGCGTGGGCTGGCTCCTCCTCAGCCTGAGCCCTAGGATCATAACCATGACCCTATTTGCCCAGTTGGAGACTGGCCAGCCCAAATGGATCCCCACCCTCCTGAGTCTGGCCTTAGGAAGAGCTTTTCACCCAGAGGCAGCCCCAGGCCAGAGGAGAGGGTGTAGAGAGGTGGGCTACTGGCCTCTGCCTCGAGTTGAGGCTTGGTTCCTTCCCAGCCCACCTTGATAGCTCCAGCAACCCTGAGAAGCCCATCTGCCCCTAACCTGTGGCAGCCTCCAGTTCCCACATGCCCTTTGGGCCCCCATCTCCATACCTCTCTGGAGAAGGGGCCCTGGGCCTGCCTTACCAAGGACCAAAGGGAATCTGCCAAGGCCCTTCCTCCAAGAGTAGCACTGGCCTTGCCCTAGCAGAAACCAAGAGTGGAGTCTTCCCTCCTGCTCCCTGTCCCCCAGGGGACTGGGAGGACAGATACTGGGAGGGCCAGGCCAGCAGCTCACTTCAGCCCCTCATGCAGACTCTTAACCCCTAAAGGAGCCCATTGTGGCCAAGGAGGCTCTCCTCCTGCTGGGCTCAGCCTGAGGGCGGGGATGCTTCCTTCCTCATTTTCCTTCCCAAAACAAGCAGGAAGCTGAGGCTGCCGTGGGAAATGGTACTGTACAGCCGGCTCTGTCTCCCCTGCTCCCCCACAACCCTGAGCAAGTGGGGTGCCTGGGAGGACGGGATTCTGCCGGCCTATCTTCAAGTGGTGGCTTCTTGTGGGCTGGCACCAAGTATGGGTCCAGCACCTCTCCCCACCTCTGTAGGACCAGAGAGCCAGCCATGGGGTGGGGGTGGGGTCCAGTGTCCACCCACATACATTTTTTTCTGTAAATAATTTGCACTGATTAAAGTGTACAGGCAGCGAGTGTGGCCTCATTTGTAAGAGGCCTTGGGCTGGAGCTCACAGTTGGAAGGGCCTGCAGGTGGCAGGGGTACACATAGGATTGGGGACTTGCCCTTAACGCCGGGGAGACTTTGGTTCCCAGTACTGTGGGGGCTCCTTCCCAATGGCCTTTGGCAACGAAGCCCAGGAGGGCTGAGCTTAGGCCTGCTCTCAATAGGCCAGAGGAGGGGGAGGCAGGAGACCTGGGCTCACCCTGCTGGGGTGGGGCAGGGAAGGCCTGTGGAATTTGTTTGCCATCCATTTGTGCTGAGAAAGGACAACCCAGCTTCCCACACACTCTCTACTTCTAGGAGGGCAGGAAGAACCAGGCCAGGCCCGCAGCCCTCCCATTGACTCAGGCTGGGTCCTGGGCAGCCTGAAAACCCACCCTGGATAGGAGCCCAGAGCTGGGCACAAAGAGATGGAAAACAGTGCCACTTTGGTTCCAAAAGTTCCCCTCAGCGCATACTGCTCAGAGGGGGAGGAGACACCCAAGACCTGCCCTCTCCTCCCTGAGAAGCCTGCCAGGCCTGTGCAGAGTGCAGATGAGACCCCAGAAGAACAGGGACTGAGGCAGGGGCTGCCCCTTGGGTCTGGGTGTGGCCAGTGAGGTGGGAGGTGTGGCTTAGCCCACAGGTCCATGCTGTCAGCCATGCCTATTTGGTACTAGCCTGGGCCCCCAGGAATGCAATGACCGGCTGAAGCAGGCATCCCAGCCCCACCATGGAGCAGGCCAGGCCTCTGCAAGTCCACAGGCAGGGTCCCTCCAGGCTCGATCCCACCCCTTCCTCTCTTTGTGTTGAAACTGGCTGAGGAGAGTAGGAAGTACTGACCCTTGGAAGCCCCGAAGGCCTCTCAGGCTCATCTAGAAACCAGCCCATGAGCTCCCCGTGCCACAGAAGTCTTGGCAGGCGGCAAGAGGGTCTGGGGCAGACACCATCTTGTCAGCTTCCCTGCAGAGAAAGCAGCAGATCCCAACTCAGCACTGCCCCTGCCTGAGGCCTTAGGGTCATCCAGAAGCCCAAAAGGTCACTGGGCAGTGTGGGGGCCCAGGGACAAGAGAGGGGAGGATGAAAGGCCTCTCATCAAGCTCTTCCTCAGAGCCAAGGCCAGAGGAGAGACTTGGCAGAAGCCTCATCTCCTCAGGAAACTGAGGAGCCATCCACCCCCAGACTCTGCTAAAATCTTGGAAACCCAGTGGCTGAAGGCACAACCTGTCACCAGAGCTCAGTTTATCTTCACTGGTTGCTGTGGAGATCCATTTGGGGTGTGTGGAACAGGAGGGCCCTGCCTCCCAGCCCCACCCAAGTCTAGGCCTACCTGGGTCCTCACCCCTCCTCCCAGGAGCAAACAAGAACCTGCATCTTTAAATAAGGGTTTAGGGGTTGCGGGGGTGGGGGGTGTTTTGTTTGAGACAGAGTCTCACATTTTTTTGAGACAGTCTTTGTTGCCCTCAGACTGCCATGGCATCATAGCTCACCTCTAACTCTTGGGCTCAAGCGATTCTCTTGCCTCAGCCTCCCAAGTAGCTGGGACTACAGGCACCTCCCACAATACCCAGCTATTTTTAGAAGGGGGGTTTCACTCTGGCTCAGGACGGTCTGGAACTCCTGAGCTGAAGAGATACGCCTGCCCCAGCCTCCAAGAGGCTGGGATCACAGGCTTGCGTGAACCACTGTGCCTGGCCTATTTTTGTTTTTTAATATGACTGTAACCTAAACTCAGGGCCCACATTCCCTCAGCATCTCTTTTTTTCCTTTATATCTTCCTAAATAAGGAAAAGAAAAGGAGAAAAATAACAGTCACTATGTATATAGTCACCCCCAGCCAGTGTTGACAGGTCAGTGTATTTCTTTCCAGCCTTTTTCTTTGCATTTGCACAAGTTGGAGTTTTAGAGTCAAAATAGCCCAGGCCTGAACCCTGACACCGTGGCGCTTCAGCTTCAGTATAGGAGATGACACCACCTGCTCCCTGGCTGTGGGAAGTGAACAGGGGGTGATGGGTGGCTGTCAGGCATTGACAACAGGGCATGGGCAAAATGTGTCCATTTATGTTTTACTCAGAAGGAAAAGCTCAGAGAAGTGGTGACTTGGCCAAGGTCACACAGCGAGGAAATGGCCATGCCAGAATTAGGCCCCAGGTAGGACTGACTTGTACAGCAGCTCAGCCCCACCCCAGCCTGGTGCTGCTAGAGCATCAGGACAGGGACAGGGGGACCCCTGCTCACCAGCCTTCCCTCCCCACACATTCTACACATTGAAGACCCCAGGGCCACCAACAGAGCCTTCTTTCAGGCCAAGGGGGGTGGCCCAAGCTTGCTGCTTCCTCCCCCTCCAACTTGGCAGAAAAGCCTTTTTGTTGTAGTTCACACAGAGCCCATTCTCCAGCTCATAGGAAGGAATGGCCAGCTTCCTGTTCATCCACAGCTGCCCAGGCCACGATGGGCTCCTCCATATAGGTCCCAGAAGAAGATCCTCTCTGCGTCCTCCATTCCTGCCTTTGGGGCCTTAGGCTACCAGGCTTTGTCCCACCCCCACCCCCAAACAATTCTATAAACCACACAATGGAGTAGAGGACAACCACCTCTTGGCTATCTCAGAAAATGCCGGGGACCCTGAATATCAAGGCACCCCAAGGGCACAGAGGTTCCACCCTCAGTCCACGGCTCAAGTGGCCTCTTGATCCATAAAGCACGGGCAGAGGCCCCTCAAATGTCCCCTGCACTTGCTTGCCTCCAGGCCTTTGCTGATGCTGTTCCCTCCCCTTGGAAAACCCTTCTCTGCGCATCTCAGCCTGTCCAAATGGCAGCGATCCTCAAGACCCAGTTTATGGCTGGCAGTTCCCAGATTCCTGCCTTCCCTCCTCAAGGACTATGTCTCGGCTCTGAGCCAGGCCTGCCCATTGTTACAGGCATCCAGACACTGACCATGGCTCTGTCATCCATAGGCTGTCAGTGCATCCTTGGGCATATCAGCCTACTCCCCTGAGCCCAGGCCCCCCATCTATAGAATGGGCCAATAGCCATGCCTGTTCCATGTGGTCATGAGGCTTGATCAAGCTGCTGACTTAGAAACACTCCTGGCTTGTGGGAGGCTCTCAAGAGTTAGTTGCAAGTATCCCTATTTTAAGTGCAGGTGAGTACTGGCTCAGTGTCCAGTTTCCTGTTTGTAGGAAAGTCGACCAGCCCAAGGACAGGTGCCTGGGAGGAGGGACATTCCTGTCCCACCCGCTCCCCTGCCAGCTGCTAAGGCCTGCCCTACCCCAGCCCCTCCCACACCCACAGCACCTGCCCCTCCACCCAGACCCCAGGCTCCAGGCTCAGGTTTCCCCTCCAAGTGCCCAACATCTCCCGCCCCTACATTTTTCACCTACCTCAGTCTTCACCAGAAATAGCCTATAACCCCCCCACCCCCATTCACTTACAGCCAAACTAACAGGCCCCTCCCAACACAGATCACAGCATGATTTCTTAATGCAGTAAACTGAATTTCACTAATGGTTCTGAGTCAGTGGAAAGTGAAAGGCAACTTCACCCCAATGATTTTATCAAAACAATGAGCAGCATAGTCCTAAAACTCATAGACGCCAGCAGATCACCCTCCCTTTACAGATGGGGATACTGAGGCCTGGAGAAGTGGGTGATTTGGCCATGGCCACTCACTGCAACTTCTTATCGTCAGGCAGGACTGTCCTCTGCCCTCCCCACCCGCTCCTAGAGCCTCCCTCATCTGCTCTTCAAAAGATTAATCCAGCTTTCCAGATAAAGGACACTTCTGTGTTTATGCGGCTCAGTTTTCAAAAAGAGCTCTGCCTGGCAGCCCCCTTCCTCTGCCAGGAGACCCCATTTTCCTGGAGGACAAACCCTCCCTTCCTCCATCTCAGTCCATGGATCCTGGCAGAGCTGACTCCACCCCCTTGGTGGCTGGATGGGCTTGTGACCCAGGACCAGCCAGCCAATCAGTGCCCCAGTGCATGGTTCAGGGTGAGCAGGAAACTCAAGTAAGACCAATCACTCCCTCCCTGTGAGTTTTTCTGGAGTCTCTGGGAGGGAGAAACCTTGTGTCTGCTGGGATGTGCTGTCAATTATCATCTTGCCACAACACAGAGAGAGCCTGCCTCAGAGAGAAGCCATCACAGAGGAAAATGGAGCCTTGAAGAGACAAAGAGATTTTAGAAAACATCATTTTTGAGTGCCCAGATCCAGCCATACCTGAAGCTCAGGGCCCTAGGCTTTTCAGTTACATATACTGATAAACTCCTTTTATTTCTTGAGCCAATGTGAGTTGTTGTTGGGTTTTGGTTTTGTTTTTAAATGTTTGACTTAACTGATGTCCTAGGGTACCCTGACTTCCAAACTTGTGCCTAGCTTAGTGAGTTTGTGTTGACCATCTAGGACTCCTTAGGATCTTGCAAAACCCCAGGACTACAAGGAATCCATCTCTTCAAACCTCAAATGTTTACTAAGAAACAGGGCTCATTCCGGGGGCCCTGGCACTACCCCAGCCTTGATAATGCTGCCTAAAACATCAGAGAATACCTTAAGTCTTCACAAGAGCCCCTTAGCCAAATGGGGGCAGCTGGTGGGTGGGAAATCCAGGCGGAGGAAGTCACTGAGTTCATTGTTCCATGAGATTTTTTCAAATTGTGCAAAATAACACATGCTCGGCCATCGTAGACAATGAGGAAGCCACAGAAAAGCCAAAAAAGACTGAAAAATGCTAGCAATCTCCTACTCCCTCTGACCAAACAGTTCACATTTTAATGTAAATCCTCCAGGCTTTTCTATATGAATAGATATACACACACACACATATATACAACATATATCTCGTTACGTTGCCCTCAGTAGAGTGCCGTGGCATTGCAGCTCACATCAACCTCAAATTCTTGAGCTTAAGTGATTCTCTTGCCTCAGCCTCCCAAATACCGGGGACTGCAGGCACCCGCCACAACACCCGGCTATTTTGTTTTTGTAGTTGTT